TATCCCTCACAGCCTCGCTTTCATTCTCATTAAAAATCAAAGATGGCGCTGCCGTGAATAAGGCGTATACCTTTCTTCCGTTCAATAGACTCTGTGCACGAGAAAAATGCTAACTTCCGCCTTGAGGGCGGATGTTGGGTACTTCAGTTCCGGTTGCCGTTGTTTACATCCTACATCAGTGGACCGGCTATCTAAAGCTTAGCTATCTAAATATATTTGTCTAAAACTATGTTCGTTTGTTCATTGTCAAGTCAACCAACACAGTTTTCACTCATATTTGGGTGGAGCCAGGCGCTGCTGCATTGTGAAAAGTAAACGATATTTCACATTTTGTCACTGCACCCAAGCAGTCGCTTTACAGAGTGGAGCGTTGCGTATCCATGACAACTAGAAGGAAGTTTTTAGGCTACTAATTATTTATTATATTATACCCTTTAACCAGGAGAAGCCCCTGGGTTTAGAACCTTTTTTGCAAGGGAGACCTGTTTAAAAATATGTGTGAACAGCCTAATATGTGTTAAACAGCCTAACTTGATAACGAACGAACCAACGTCGGATACCTTTACTCCCTGTATGACATGTATAGTGGTTGTCAACACTGATCTATATGACATTCTATATAGATAGTGGTTGTCAACAACATAGCCTCTGAACATCATAAACAAAACAATGGCTAACACAAACTGTTCTGGAAAATGCACTTTCTAACGCATGATTTCGCATTTTATAATGTATAGAGAGATAACAGTTACCAAATCGCATAGCTTGAGCACGTAGCATGGCAACATTAATGTCCGAGTGATTCCACGTGTACCGCGTACACGCCGTCAAATGTCCGAGCGAAACAAAACAAAATGTAGATCTACATCTGGGGAGCGATATTTATTTTTTCCTAGGATGGTAGGAGTGACGGGTAGGTTTAGGGATGGGGTTGAGGTAGGTCATACGCTATATATATATATATATATATATATATATATATATATATACACAGTAATAACGTTAAGTCAACGGTATTCATAAACACGCTGAAAAGAGATTGTGCGTGTTGATAGCATGCCAAAAATACGACTTTCCAAAAATACGAAATACAACTTTCAAATACGGAGAAATTTATAGTTTAATTCGAAGACACGGGACGTTTCTTTATTTCCGTTTCGTCGCCCGTCTATGGCGTCATATAACCTTTGACTCCTCTATTTTCTCTAACTTCCTTGCGGAACCCGGCGAAACCGCCAAACACAAAGGGGAACACTGGACTACCGCCAATAAAGCAAAGAAAATGACGAAGAAAAAAAAGTAGTAGCCTACGTATTTTTATGTGTGTAAATCACGTGCCCGCTTACGAGCGCTCACTCTTAACAGACACTGTCCCCGGTGCTGCTCGCGCATAAAGCGCTCCCCGTTCACAGTAACCGTGTTGTCTCATTCAAAACAGCCAACTGTTGCTGTTAGCGATCCGCGCACATTGAATACTCATGAGTCAGGCTGCGAATGTACGTGCCCGCTTACTAAATAAACACCTCACCTCCGGCGCCGCGCACTCACTACATTCCCTTTAGCCTTTAGCACATAGTGGATGAATAACGCAAACCCAGTCAAACGTTTGACTACAGTATCTTATGTGCTTTATAATCCGGTGCGCCCTATATATGAAAAATGTTCTAAAATAGGTAATTCATTGAAGGAGCGTAATATTTATATTCGTCTCTAGTTATGGACCACGATTACGCTTTGTCAGCACGTTCTGCTGCTACAGCCAGCTCAGTAAAACTCAAACGTACGGGTGAAAAATATGACCTGAGAAGGGTTTGGGACAGGAGAAAAATGACACAGGTAAACATTGGGGTTGCATTTAAAGCTTCTTGACCAGCTAAATCTGCAGAGCTGAGCTGGTTGTCATTGACAGCGACAACAACTACCGTGAGCCCACGCTCTTTCCCGACGTCATCAAAGTACGTCTTTTGTTATTATTTTAAATAAGTGACCCCTGGTGGCCAAAAATCGCATACTGTACGTTTAACGTTCCCTTCAAAATTATGCAAATACTGAGAAATGTAATATTTAAACCCCTTCTCTCTTGCTCTGGGGAGCTGGAGAAAAATCATTTGCCAGTCGATGAACATAATCGACTGTAATATTCGGCAAATGTTCAAGACATCTGGAGAAACATACATCCTCTAGTCTACGTCGTCCATCAGGCTACCGGAAACTAGACACCCCATATCGGTTTCGCAGCCGGAACTAGCATATGCTAAGGTCACGTGCACATAGTCCATGGACTCCATAGGCTACATGAAGCGAATAATTAGTGCAGGATAATGCTGAAAGAGCCCATACTGTAATATCAAATGTCTCGTGCAAAAAAATAGATTAACTGTCTCACAAAGCCAGATCTGTTTTCTATTATATAGCCTAGTCTCATAATTCAAACTATCATAACACTGTAATTTTTATTACCTCATCTGTAGACATGATGCTGGTGAATTGCATAGTCGGTGCAATATCAGATGATTTTCTAAAATGTTCACTTTGTTATTGAGATAAAAGCGCACAGCACATAACGTTAGGCCTACAGTAAGTTATATTCATTTAAACGTCGCTCTCTGCAGCGTCTGGATGTTAACAGTAGCCTATCACAGCAGAGGTATTTCCAACTTCTTTTTTTACTTCTAAGCGAAGAACGAAGAACAACGTGAGGCCTTGAATCAGTCTTTTGTTACGCGTGTGAGCGAGCAGTTTTGCAGGCTGCAGTTCACTTAACGGCCACTTACCATCGCTAATAACAAGGGATTATGGATTATACAAATAGACCCACCCGTTTATTAGAAAAATGTAAACAATTATTATTGCAATACTTATAGAAATTTTTTTTAAACAACAAATAAAAAAAATATGTGTCCCTAATTCTTACCCTGTATGCTTTTATTAATATTTTGTGGTGGATAAACTTGCAGCATACAGCACTGTTCAGGTTTGAAGCAGATTTGCGCCACAGGCTGTTCTGGTTAGTCAGATGCTGCAATTTTGAAAATCTGTCACAGATCATCAGCTGGACTGAGATCAGGGTTTTGACTGGCCAATTGCAGAAAAACATTCACCTTGTTGTTCTCAGGCAATTTCCATGTAAATTTGAGTCTGCATTTAGGATCTTTCTCCGGCTAAAATTTGCACTCATTCCTGCTATTAAACAAAATGCCTGATATGTGCTTTTTTCTTTTCTTTTTGAGGAGTGGGCAATGTTTTACTTGTAGTAGGCTACACATATGTCTTTGAATTATGACTAAAAAGTAACTCGACCACAAAATTCCTTGGACACATTTTCACCTCCGATTCACGACCAGAATAATTATGCTTGACAGTGGGGTTGTCAGGAAATGTGGTAGTTATTTTAATGATTCACATATGGAGGCCAATTGTAAGGCAATCGCATCCTTGTTAGGGCAATTGTTTTTCATCTGTGTAGCTCTTGAACTTCTACAACAGGACTGAACCATGTTCAAGCAACTTCTTATTAAATCTTATTAAATCCCATTACCATGTTAAATTAAATCATGTATATCCAATATTAAAATAATAATAAAATAACATGTTATTTTACTCAAATTTAATTCTTATACTGTGAGAACCCATTTTCATTTATGATCCCAGTATATCAAACTGTACAAATACAAAGTTTCAATTAAAGCCTAAATTCAAACCCACAGACAAATAGATATAGCACTCACCTGTACTTCACCTTATTTTTTTTGCTTTGCCTTTGCGTAATATGTTCCTCACGGCGATGTATCCAGTAATTAAGCCAGTTTCAGGTAAGGCAGTTATTGGCAGTGTATCTGTGTATGATGATAAGTATAAGATTTCGGTCATCAGCCATTTTGCTGAGTCCATGTGTCTAATATAACAGGAACGGGGGAGCAGGTGTTGGCTTTCTGTTTGACGTCGCTGTGACAACCAGGATTTGTCCAGTAGACCAGGTATGGGTGTCCTCGGGTCTTCTTAGGTAAATACTCTGCCATTAATTTGGATTTTCAATATAATATTAAATTCATCTTTATAACATATAAAGTTGTGTATGTCGAGTGCCTTTATATCTGTGTGTGTGTTTACCTGCACGAGGACAGTCGTTTGTTTATGGATGTAACTCCATCCGTCCAGTCTAGCTCAAAACACAGTGACATAACAATTAGTGACACTGAGACGAGTGCACACACACACACACACGCATCTGGTTTACTATCTTTGTAGAGACTCTCCATAGACATAATGTTTTTTTATACTGTACAAACTGTATTTTCTCTCCCCTACCCCTAAACCTATCACACACAACCTTCTGCATTTTTACATTTTCAATAAAAGTCATTCTGAATGAATCCTCATGGGGACCTCAATTTGTGCCCTTTCCCCCTATTTTTCAGTGTATTTGGTCATGCCCTCTGTCTGACCCACAACTCCCCTCTCTCTCTGCCACCTGTCCCGGTCATCGCTGTCTTCCCGTGTCTCTCTCTCTCACACACACATTAACACATGGGGCTTTTCCTCTTTTACAAGTCCCTTAATTAGGCATGCAGCTCCCCCTGCAAACACGTGCATTCATGCGCATAATCACTCTCGCTCACCATTTGGCCTTCGAGTTCGAGTATTTCCAGTTTCTCACGTAGGATCTCAGCTCTCTGTCTGGATTTGTCATCTCTCTCATCATTCTCTCTCCTTCCTTCGCTCCTCAGCCCTCCTCCCTCACGGGACCCACCAGAAGGTTCATCACGCCATATCGGCTGTCAATAAACCTGTGGCACTGACACCTGAATCCCTAAGAGGGACGGATAGACACCCCTTATGTAGGCACACAGACTTTAACTAATTCCCTACCAACAGCTAATCCAACACTCTTAGAAGAAATGGTTCTATTTAGAACCAGAAATGGTTCCATCCCCCGCTTCATATATGGAACGCCAAAATGGTTCTATATAGAACCATTTTTTTGGTAAAAGGTTCTATTGGTCAAGTATGGAACCCCAGGGTTCTATACTGTATAGAACCCAGAGGAACCCTTTTTTAAGAGTGTATAGAACCTTTTAGGGGTTCCAAATACGTAGCACTGATAGAACCTTTTAAGGTTCTATATAGAACTTTTTCTTCTAGGAGTGAATAAAGGCATATTAACACCAATAAAAAGCCAAATTACTAAAAAGGATTTTTTTTTTATCTTCTCCAAATGGATTTTACAGATGACAGAATTGCTTGAAACTCGTTAATGTGATCTACATGTCACTGTTATAAATACACATCAGTTAAACTTTAAACCTGTTCAATTCACTCAAGGACAGGAGGAACAATAGATCACAGACACTGCTTCTGTCTTATTGACAGCCAAAAGGTCATGGGATTAAATCTCTATTATCTGTAGTAATGTCAGTTTGGATCTATAAGCCACTATAGGCATGGGTCGGCCTTTATGTTTTGACATAATGTACTACAACAATGACATTGAGGGAGTGCCTGTTTTCTCTCACGTTTAGTTCATGATAATTTGATAAGGTAAATGCAGACTAATATTATATAATAATACAGCTTACATTTTTAGGTTACATCGCTCAGCTAAATTTTTTTAACTGTACACATATCCTTTTCTATCTCTTTCAAAATCGTACCTGTAACCATTGCAATTTATGTTAGACATTTAGAACTTATCAGATCTTAATTTAAGACTTAAACGTAAAAAGTTTGAGGAGGCAGGGGAGACAAAAACTGCATGAGAAAATAATCCATATTACAGAAATAAAAACACAAATCAAACACGAAACAATCATCTCTCTTGAGCATCCTTGGATTACGTGCTTTGTTCAAGGGCACTATACGTTTCCTTCAAGGAGGCAAAGAGTCAGTGCCTCCTCCAAAAAATATATATATATTTTTTTTATATATATAATATTTTTTTATAATAATTATTTATATTTTTTATAAAGAAAATAAATAAGATGAGTTACTAATAATTCATAAAAATATAATAATGCAAATATAACATAATGTGATAAGTAACAGTCCCACAGGGACACTTACAGCAGGACGCTGCCTCTCTCTTGCCTGCCCTGAGCCAATTGACTTTTAACAGACCCCCGTAATTTGGTGCGGGGTAATTGAAAATGAATGGGGGAAATCACATTAGAGGAGGCAATGCCTCCATCCCGCTATGATTGGATGTGATTGGTTCGTACGATAAATCCCACCTCTTTTTTTTTCTAACTGTAAAAGGTAAGTAAACAACTGACCCACTTAGATATCACTGCATTGTCACATCAAATCAAACCTGAAAACATAGGCTACCAGTAATGTCTGCAGAGCTTTTTAGTGTGGAATCAGCTTGAGGAAATTCAAGATCGATGATCCGAAAATAAGTTGACTATTAAGAAGAAAAGCTGAACATCAATACACAAATAAAATATATAATTTACATTGTTACTGCCTTTAGTTCATTTGGAATAGGCCTAATTATAAAGACTGCTTAAAAACACTAACTTGATGACGAGATGATTTACTCAGTTTTAATAAATATAGGCTATATAAAAAATAAAAATAGCCATAATAGAATTGCATTTTGGTTTCTTTTTTATATAATGTAAAGTAATGTTTATTTGACCAGGAAAATGTGACAACATTAAGTGTAACTGGTACATGATTTTACATTTGATTGATATTGAGGAGAAAAACTGAGGACTTTTCCTCCTTCAGACTGAACGCCACAGTACCGGTGTATCTTTAGAATTAGCCTAATGAATAAACCAACTGCAGTCTCCAAAATCTTCGGAGATGTTTATCTCACGTCTTAAATTTTCTTTTCCACAAAACGATCAATTTAGGCAAACAAAGTAAGTATGGTCAATTTTGATTTCATGGGGACTTTAATACTGGCATAAAACCGCACTTTCTTTCAAGCCCGAGCAGCTTTTGATTAGCTATGCCTAAATCGATAACGCGGTTTTCCAGTTTGCCCTCACTAACGTTACCGTCGGCTTTAGCAGTGCGCATGCTCTGTTCCACAAGCCAGAAGACGTGACCATCCTCAAACATGTCGATGTGGCTTTAATTTGAAAGAGTATTGAGTCAAAGTTTGTAAACAGAGGTCACTATGGATATGTTTGCAGTTCTCTTGCTTTGTATGTTCAGCCTCGTTTTGGCAAACCAAGAGGAGCGATTGCCAAATAAATGCGAGGGTAAGAAACAGAAAGTATCTTTTCCCCGTATGTGTTGTAGAACGATAAAAATAAACTATTATAAAACGATCTTAAAATCTATTAAACTTATTCTACAAAGATCCACTAGTGCAGAGATATAGTATGTGCACTTAGCCTATGTTTACATTTTAAAATAGCACATGAAGAAGTTATTGCATTATTAATATTTTTTAAGGCATCTGTTGTTGTTTTTAAATAGTTTGTAAATTACTGACGGTGGAGTTGCAGGACGCCCTAGAAAAATCCGGCCGCTCGAAGGAAGTTTTAGAGATCGGAGAAGTTTTGGACACTGGAAAGCGCAGGCGCAAAATCAAATACAACACTTCGTAAGTAATGATGATGATGATATGATACTCCGTTCTATGGCAAGCCGTTTTGACATTTAGGCTATTCATTCCCAGGATATGAACAATTCAGTTGATATCATTAGATGTCTACTAGTATCAATGGCATTGAAAAAAATTAAGGTTTTTGATGAAAACATTCCAGGATTTTTTTTTCCATATAATGGACTTTAGTGGGAACCAAACGGTTCAAGGTCCAAAAGACACTTTCAGTACAAACTGCAAACTGTTCAAAGGGCTTTAAACGATTCCAGAAGATGAATAAGGGTCTTATCAAGCAAAACGATCACTCATTTAAAAAAACAAAAAAAAAAAACAACAACAAAGTTTAAGATGTGCGTTCATGACTCTCCTGTTCAAACTCGTTCATCAAAATGAATCTTTTTTTTAATCATTTGGTTCATTCAACAAACGAAACGAACGAATTGACTCGGAAAAAGATTTGTTCATTTTGATGAACTGAAGTGCATTATATGGAGAAAAATCCTGGAATGTTTTCATCAAAAACCTTGATTTCTTTTCCACTGAAGAAAGAAAGACATGGACATCTTGGATGACATGGGGGTGAGTAAATTATCAGCAAAAGTTTTTTTTAAAGTGAACTAATGACAATTGGGTGGTTGATATCAAGGATTTATATCCTGGCAATGAATAAAAGTCAAAACAATCTGTCCCTATGAGAAAACTGCCAGAGAGAGAGAGAGACAACCCTGAAGTTAAGGAAAAAATGTAAATTTTTATTGATGTTCTCCCTCCTATTGCCATTATTACGATTTATTTGTTTCCAGAGAGACACGACTCACTGAGGCCATGGACAACATCTGTGAAAGAATTCTGCAGTATAAAGTCCATGCGGAGAGACCAGGAAGCCTTCGCTATGCCAAAGTATGAAGCTCACCTTAGCACTGTTTCCCCAATCGCATGATATTCTGCCAACCCTCAGTGAAGAGATATTATAAAAGTGTTGCTGACTAATGTGCTGTGTTTGTCAGGGCACAAGTCAAACCATGAACACACTTAAGAACCTGGTGGATAAGGGAGTGAAGGTAGAGCTGGGTATCCCGTATGAACTGTGGGATGAACCATCAGTGGAGGTGGCGGAGTTGAAGAGACAGGTAATACACATTCAGTCATAGTTTTATACTAAGGTACAAATACACTACCTCACTGGATGAGCCTGTCGCCAGTTTCAAACAAGTTTTAAAGGAGACGATCACAAATTAGTGTACATATTACAAAGTCAATCGCAAATTTTTAGGTGGGTGGACATTTAGCGGGACAAACCCTCCTAAAATGCACTCTTAGAAGAAATGGTTCTATTTAGAACCAGAAATGGTTCCATCCATTCCAAGCAGGCTTCATATATGGAATTCCAAAATGGTTCTATATAGAACCATTTTTTTGGTAAAAGGTTCTATTGGCCAAGTATGGAATATATAGAACCCAGAGGAACCCTTTTTTTTAAGAGTGTATAGAATCTTTTAGGGGTTCCAAATACATAGCACTGATAGAACCTTTTAAGGTTCTATATAGAGCCTTTTCTGAGTTAGTAATGTTATAATGGTAGTGATGATTGCATATATCTGGATATCCAAATCCAAATTCCTTTTGGACAGTTTTGTTACGTCTTATGTTTATATTACAGTGTGAGACCATGTTAGAAGAGCATGAAGAGGTTGTGGAGAACTGGTACTTTCATCGCCAAGAAGAGAAACTTGAACAATTCTTCTGTGCGACCCATGTCCTCAGAGACTCGGACCAAGGTAGGAAATACCCAATATAATCCTTACACACACACACACACATCAAGCCACTAGTTTCAGGCATTTTGTCCATCTCTTTCAGAGTGCCTGAATGAGGTATGGAAAGGTGACATGGGAATGAAAGGATCTAAAGAAGAGGGTGAGGGAGGACGGACCCACGATGCTGGAGAACTGTGAAAGCAGAGCCATAATGGTTGATGAACGCGGCCAACCTGTATGACGTACTTGCACAAAGCTATATAGGAACCGAGGAAACGTCAAAGAACGCATTTTCTCAAGCATCAGTGCATTTTCCAAATCTGGGGGATGTGAACTGTTGTTTTACCTCTTTGTCCATAGAGACATTTTTATTTTCTTATTGTTATGCATTGTTAAAGAATGTGCCTATTATTGTGTACCGTCTCATGTGTTAAAGCAGATACAACACTAACAGTTTTTAATGATAGACCAGTCTGGGAATTGTATTTGTACTGATCGTTACTGCACAACCATCATGCACAAACCAAACAGATGGTTTTATTTTTGTATTTTGGGATACTTTTATAATATTTTCCTCATGTGAAATGTACAGTAACCTTTTAAATGCCTTGTTGCTATAAATCATAAGTTTGTGCCTTATTAATTTGCGTGTGTCAGTCTTTCAGTCCAGACCTTCCGCGAAGAAAAACAATCCCATTCGATTATTGACAGTCAGTTGATATCTCACGCAATCGGTCAGCGCCAGTACTTATACAGACATACGTACAAAGCAGAGTGAGTTTTAAAATGTAGGCTATATGTCCTCTAGTCATCAATGAGATCGATGTGGAAATTCTCCACATCCTATATATATGTATATGCTTGTGTCCAATTTGGATTGCAGTTTAAAAACCAAGTAGAACAAAAGTGTTAACATATTTAATAGTGTAAATAATTAAGTAACAGGAGGACGCCTTTTGTGCTTACTGTGCAAATGGCTATTCTTCAAACTTTAATAAATGAAATATATATATATATTGCATGATAGATATAATCCATTCATGTTGTCGATTCCAATTGGCTGAAGCTATGATGTTCTCATGAATTGTCATCTAGTGGTTAAATTCATGGCAGGTAATTTCATGCTTCTAGGTCTGTCGATGAACAGTAAAATTATAACAAAAAATAACGCCCATAGAGTTCAATGCAACAACGACCCTTAACTATTCAGGGGTTTTAACGAAAAATACCACAATGGCGACCAAAAGGAGACTTTTATTGGACACCACAAGAGGGCAGAAGAGCTCCATTCATAAAACATAAACTAACAAACTGTCCATTCATAAAGTGCCAGTCCGTGTGGATAAACCGATAACTGATGATGTCCAAAGCGTTGTGACATCATCATAACTGCATCAGTTTTAGGGCAAAATGTATTCTGCATCAAATTGAATAGCTAACACAGGACATTGTGTCTACACTTTCAGGGGTTCTACTTGTGTGACCCAAGATGTCAGTTTTGTATCAGGGATCTGGTTAATGCTAAACAATTGAGATTTAACAGAAGTCGAGTTTATATAAAAACGGTTAATTAAATGTTTTTTTTTTTTTGTCATAAACTGACAAAAATATATCCGAATTACATTTACAAATAAGGCCTCAAGTGTTTATAATGTAGACCTTTCGGGACGGTTTTAGCGGGAAATTGCGTACATAGCCTACATACCTCGCTCGTTTCTCGTCAGTCGTCATATCCGTAAATAGAGAAGTAGCGCAGTCTTGTAGCGCAAGTCTTGTGTGGGATAGTTTCACAACGAGAAATGTTGACATGTCACGGAGCAGCAACATCTCCCATCTCCTGGGAATCACCCTTTAAAAAAAAACAAAAAAATACAACTAACATCTGCTGGTAAAAAGATAACCCAAAGAGCTTGTAACAAATCCAAAAGCAACAATGGCTTGGCTTTTCAGAAATGTTATGTGGCGATCAGGTGTTTTTTTACTCAACAGGTGAGTCAGTTATTTTACTGAACAGATAAATTGCCATATAGATCAGAAACTGAGTTCAGTAAAATTGTATCTATCGCAGAAGGTCATATTTATCCACAGTATGGCAGAGCCGAAGCACAACCAAAACAATGTTCTTCCACAAAATGCATGCCATTTTGTTTTTAAACCGCTCGAATTACAGTGTATTTAAATCTCTTACACGGTGCACTTTTTCTTAGGCTACTTTTTTTTGCTCTCACTTTCCGAAGAGATTTCAATTTAAAAGGTTTTGTTCAATAAACTTCCTAAATTCTCAAGAGAAAGCAGGGCTGCTAATGACTTCTATGACCAATTGCAGTCATTAACTTTACTACGCATTCTTTTAAACATTATTAATCACACATGTATGACTTACCACCAGTGCAGTTCTTTTGTTCTTGGTCATTAATAGGTCATTATTGTAGAGCACAGATCATTCTTCCTTCTTTCTTTTACAGTACTACCTGCATCACATGATTCAATGTCAGTTTGAACATTTGCTTTTAATGCATGCATTGAATCAGTGTTGCACTCTCTACTATAATATAGTTTTGAGAAGAAACCGTTCTGCACTTTAGAATAATAACCTGGGGATAATGTGCCTGTACCAAAGCAGTCCTCCTGAACTTTGAGTGACTGTGAAGTGTAACAGGACAAAGCATTTTAGATTTCCAAAAAAATATAAATTCAAATAGTCATTTTAACTTGTGAAACATAGGCTACTGCCATTTTGTGTTCAACCACAAAAAAAATGATTGTAAGGTTTCAACATCTATTTAAATTCGTTTTAATTTCTGCCATCATATATCAAACTATATTTTCTGGCACCTTTGCCCCTCAAATGTTGAATGTTATTCTACGTGATAGTCGATCCAAACATTTATGAAATGTGTATCCATGGAATTAATTATGACGTGTTTCATTTGAAATCAAAACAGAAATGATGCCAAGGATTCTGACTTCCTCTCGTCTCTAGGAAAAACAAAGCTCTCGCGAGCAGCTGTTTCGAAATCAAACACAGTCTGCACTGTTTGCATCATCAAATACATGAAACCTAATTAAGGATGAAATGAGTGGAAATGAGACGAGTTTAGACAACAAAAGATGAAGGAGAAAAAACGTGGTGATAAATGACTGAAGCTGGTTTTAATATTTAAAGAGGTTACAGAGCCTCTAATTGCAATCAAAGGCTAATAGCCTACTTTGCTTTTTTTCTTTGAACAATAAATGAAACGCATAACTTGATAACACTGACAAATGAAGTGCCATTGTAATATCCATATGTTTTTTTCTGAGCTGTTTCGCAGTCTAGCCACAGTAGCTCTCGCCTCTTTTTGGTGATATTTGCACTTACTCTGGACCTTCTCCAGCATGCTTTCAATCTCACACGGTGTAATAGATCCAGCAGACACGTTTGTGTTGTAGTTCCCCAGTCAAACTGATCCGTGTGGTGAAAGAATGCCAAAAATATGCGATATGCTCAATTGTACCAGTTCATCCCTCAATTAAGTGTTGTTGTACTTGACAAGCATCCAAAAACATCAAACCTCAAAACTGCATGCTCTGTAGCATGGGTACACACACACCATACACCTGGGAAACAGTCCTCCAGGGAAGTCATCAATCAGTTTTATGGGACTGTTCTGGGAGAGTTTCTTTTGTTTCCCTTTCAATTCAGTTGTTCTTTTTTCACTCTCTCCCCTTGCCTCACTATTTCCACATGTGTCAGCTTTAGATCCTCTCCAGAGAGGGAGCGCCTCGTTCCTGCAGGGGTTACCCAAAGTGGTGTTTCAATTGCGCATTGAACTTTGAATTGACGCCCGCAAGGGTGCAAGTTCAAGATCACGGCGCAGAACCAAAATTGCCTTATAGGTGATATTTACTCAGCTGAAGAGTAGGAAAACCAAGAAAGTGTGCATATATAGCCTACTTAATGCATGGCGTTCCGCGCGCGCGCGTGTGTGCGTGTGTGTGTGTGTGTGTGAACGGTTGACGTCAGGGTGATACGTAACCTTGCTGACTGAACGCGCTGCTCCGAGAAGATCTGTCCACTTGTCGTGCTCTTATTGATCAGCCAGGACTCGGATACACCGGTAACGCGCATTGACACGCACATGGTAGGTAAACTCAATTTTGCTCGTGCATGTGCACCTTTTCAGTCTCCGCTTCTGTAGCTAAATTAAAACAGGCTTGTTCGGGACTGCTGACAAGAGATTTAAATTTAGACTAACACACTGAGCTGTTGATTAGTCTTAAGCGGGGATAGTGCTAAAGTTAATTTTGTTCTTTGGGAAAAAGAAAAAAAATGATAAAGCGATTTTTTCGTTGGATTTTTCAAATCAAAATGTATTTTAGATTGCTTAGGCCTATGCATGGGGCATAACATCAAGCAGGGATTTAGTTTTAGGCTATATCACAGTGTTCAGACATATAATTTATTTTACACGTCATTTTATATTATTTGTATCCATTTCCCCCGTCAAATAGGGCTAATAAAAAAAAATTAAAAAAAAAGATTTTGCATGTTGCTTAACTTATTCTTTTTCACAAGGCTTATCCGTATTCCGGCTATAGCAAATTGTTGTTGTCCTGTAAAAATAGAATAAATGAATAAAAAGGTAACTATATAGCCTAAATAAACAGTTTTACATAGCCTAAATAAAATGCTCCGGTCTACTTTAATATTTAGCATATAAAGCAACCATTTGTAAATAAATAAACATTTTATTTCTGTATTAGGCCTATAGCTAGTCTATTGGTAAATATTGTTTATCGGGTCTTCATTCTATAGCCTAAACCTTCCAATAACTTTTTTATTTTAAGCGCTAGGCCTATATCATGACTCAAGGCTTACTTTTAAACCGATGTTAAACACAGGCCTATGAATCTACGAGATTGATTGTGATAGTCAGGACTCAGGAACCTGTAGCTGTCAGTTGCGGATGGGTTGGATGATCTGTGAATTGTACAAAATTGCCGGAAGGCTACGCGTAATTTAAGGATAATGAGCCCATTCGTCTACGCACACACCGCTAATCTTGTCAAACAATCCTGAAACAGTATTTAGGTTAGGCTAAGTCAAGGAATATAGCCTATTCTTTCACATTCTCTTGCATGTTAAGAATAATGTTGTTTTTTATTATAACCGTTGTTTAATTATATAAAAAAATATATATATATATCAGGCTACAGGGTAGATTGGCTGTTGTATTTTCCAGAATCGCGCGCGCATGTTCAAGTAACAAAACGTTAAATTCTGGCATTTTAAAGACGACAGAGCCCCACAAATAATGGTGTTTTATGTCTTATTAAGGTGCATAATTATCAAATGTAACGATGCAAACTAATTTAGAAATGTTATTAATTATTAAATAGCCGCTAATTTCCATATGGGACACAATCAGTTAGATCTTTGACTGCAACGACGTAAAATAAATAATTAATAATAATAACAACAGCTTAAGGCCATGTAGGTGGCCAGCTGCGAAACCGTTAGCTATATTAGAGTAAAAATGCAATTTCCGTTCCCTGTTCTGCGGGCGCATTTCGTGCCTCGTTATTCTGTGACATATGTCGGGTCAGCTGATAAACACGAATGGTTGTAATTATAGATCCATAAAACAGAATTTTTCATTAAATGATCATTATAGGGTTCGCCTTAGTTCACATCCCCTGTGATTTAAATCTCATTGCGCAATTCAAACACAGATATATAGAATTGGAGGATATCTCAATAGGCCATTTTTTAATTTTTAATAGGATGATCTGAATTTGAATTCAGCATAACTTGACAGGGTGATGCATCTTCAAAAACACAAGGTTAACCTTTATTTTGAACGTTTAATTAAGGATAAATGGGGTGAAACCCCCTTTGCTAATTGTTCCGCCCTAGGTTCATCATGGTATGTTGTGCTTGGCATAACTGAAGAGTGGAATCACGGACGGCGATTTCTTGTGCATCTGTTTTTCAACATTGAAACGAAACCTGCAGGGAGATTTCATGATTTCACTGCCAGGGCACATAGCGTGGGATAGAGAGAGAGAAAGAGCACAGCAAAATCTTCAGTGTTGAAATCCTGGTGTTAAAGTCTCTTAGAGTAAAGTGTTAATTTTCTGGTGTTGAATCTCAAGGGATTAACACTAGCTAGTGTAAACCACACTCTGGCTGGTGAAAACATGTGGAGTTAAATCTAAGTAGCACCTGAGAATGCTTTGACAACACCAATAATAGTGTTACTAGTCACATCCGGGACATTTACGTGCTGGGCGGAACGAAACGAGCTGAAACTTGACTCACAGGCGCCATTTTCTTTGACTCGAGTCGCAAGGCATACGAGGAGGAAACACGCATTTATTACGTGTTTTATCGCATTTATAGATTCATTTTATAACATCATATTGTTTTATAACAATATGTATGTTCTGTGGACGAGCAAACCGCTCTCAGAGGGACATTTTCTATGACTCGCGATTCGGGGCAGACCAGGATGGGTTTGCTTTTTAACCGGGAAACAACGAAAGTAAGTGTTTTCTAATTTACATTGGCAATGTATTTTATAGTATATTGATTCATGGCGATATTTAAATGCCCAGCGCGATTAAACGGTCGAAATTCTTTTCAAAGGCGACATCATCTTTGACTAGCCTAAATACGGAGCTGACGAGGAGGAGGCTTAACGTTAACAGAGAAAACACATACAGTAAGTGTTTTTAACATAATTTACCTCATGAATTTCATGGCATTATATTGTTTTGTAACGATATTTATGTAATGTGCGCGCCTAAACCGTCAGGTCCTGCATCTTTGACTCGTGACGCATTTCAAAAAGCAGTGCAGAATGCAGACACGGAGTTTGCTTTTAACAGTGAAAACACCGAGTAGGTAACTTTAAGTGTTTTTTACTCATTTACTGTGCTACGTGTTTTATAATATGATATTGTTTTATGACAATATGTGTGATGTGCAAATATCATAAAGTATTTATCCTCAAACTATCTTTTACTCTCGTCTGCCAGCTAAACCAACTCCACAAACTGCGGACCAACAATGCACGTGACATTTTCACTTTATTTCCTTATTTGGAGGACCAATCTTCTTAGAATGGGTAAGCAATTATTTCAAATTAAATATTGATGCAAAATGTATTTATCAGATTAACTTTTGGTTGATACTTGGAGATGCTTTAATGTTTAAATTTATTGATTTTTGCAATTTGTTTTTGCTAGGAGCAATTCTATGATGCACCAAGTGGCTAAGGGTACCAGGCTTGGTGTTTAAAGACTGTACAGACTAGAACCTGGTGATGGAAAGATAACAGATAAGTTAACATATGAGAGAATCATGGGCACAAACAAAAATAATCATGGCTTGGTATTACTAGATTTTCTTTGTTTTATAACACATATTTTGAATTTGTCTAGCCAAATTACTTAATAAAAGTGTGTGTGTGTGTGTGTGTGTGTGTGTATATATATATATAAACTTAAAATAAGATTTCTAATCAATGGTTTTCTTGATTTGACAAGTAGAAATCTCTGCCCATCACCTGCCCCCAACATTACAAAGCCACAAGAAGAGAACACCGATCCTTCCAGAATCCGGCGGCTGACTATTTAGTGAGATTTCTTAAGGTGCGTGTCTTAATTTATTCTTAAAGTGTTAGTTCACCCACAAATGGAAATTCTGTCATTAATTACTCACCCTCATGTCGTTCCAAACATGTGAGCGTTTTTCGATGTTCACAACACAAACGAAGATATTTTTAATGAAATCTGAGAGCTTCGTGCCCCTCCATTGACAATCTACGCAACTACCACTTTCAAGCCCCAGACAAAAGTACATCATTAAAGTACTCCATGCGACTCCAGTGGTTTAACATAAATGTTTATTAAACTATGCAAGTGCTGTGTTTGCAGCAAAAACAAATTTACCAATTTATTAAATATTTATTTCCAACATGCGTTCATGAGAACATTACAACTCGTGCATGTTGTTGATGTGCATGTATGTGCATTGAAGAGGAATATTTTGTAAATAAAGTTGAGTTAAAATTGTGAAATTTATGTTACACCACTAGAGTCACATGGATTACTTTGATTTCCTTTATACCTTTCCGTGGCTTTGGAAGTGGTGGTTGAATAGGCTTTAGATGAATGGACAGAAATCTCTTATATTTCATTAAAAATATCTTCATTAAAGGGACTGTTCACCCAAAAATGTAAATTCTGTCAGTATTTACTCACCTTCATGTTGTTCCAGCCCTGTAAGACTTTCGTTCATCTTCTGAACACAAATTAAGATATTTTTGATTAAATCTGAGCTATCTCACTCCTCCATAGGCTTCTAAGGGATCAAAACTTGCCAGCCCAGAAAGTTATTAAAGATATTGTTAAAATAGTCCAAGTGACTACAGAAGCGCAATCATAAGTTTATCAAGCAACGAGAATACTTTGTGTGCCAAAAACAAACAGAAATTACGACTTTATTTAACTATGCATGCTTCTCTGTGAGCCTTGAGATGGTTCTCGTAGTGTAACAGTGCTTCAGTGTTGTACGTCACACACAGGCTCACTATTGGCCGATGCTGGTTGTGTGTGTGTGTGACGTACAACACAGAAGCGCTGCACTGTTACACTGTTAACTTGCTCAGGCCCACGCAGAAGAAAATGAATAGTTAATTTTAATATTTTTAGTTTGGTTTTTTTTTTTGCATACAAAAAGTATTTTTGTCACTTGATAAACTTAAGGTTGAGCCACTGTAGTCACTCTGTCTATTTTTACAATGTCTTTAATAACTTTTCTTGGCGCCAAGTTTCAATCCCTTAGAAGGCTATGGAGGAGTGAGATAGCTCAGATTTAATCAAAAATATCTTAATTTGTGTCCTGAAGATGAAGGAAATTCTTACGGGGTTGGAACAACATGAGGGTGAATAATTAGTCAGAATTTTCATTTTTGGGTGAACTAACCCTTTAAGCGTTTCGAAGATGAGAAAAACTCTTACTGGTTTGGAACAACATAAGGGTGAATAATTAATGACAGAATTAAATTTTTTTTATTAATTAAATCTTCGATTTACTTGGAAATCAGTAAATTCAAGTCTTAATCAAACAAAAATG